CCCCATGTGCACTCCACGTTATGCGATCATAGTAGATCAGTAGGTCTCTGCAATATTGTCGATGCTCTTGAAAGATTAGTAATTGTTTTAGGGAGTGTTCCTCCACTCCTTCAGGCAAATTTAGGAGCTTTACGAGATGCCATCTTATCCCCGAATTTTAGGACCCAAAGGATCTGCAGGTTTTGTTTTGCTGTTGGCAGTAGCGGAGGGCTGCGATCAAGCGAACATTTTGCTTGGCTGTCATGCCACAACCCTCCAGTTTGGCTATTTTGGGCTTATATATGAAATTCACCTTGCATTCATTTGAAAACCCACAATCAGTTCTCACTTTAGTGGATAACTCAATTCAAGTTTTTTTCCTGTTGCATAAAAAGTATGAAAGATGAATTTGAATTAAAGTTACACCTTTACATTAATTATAAAGTGTATTCTTAATAATTCCACAATGATTAGAATTATCACAGGATCATTAATGTTTATCCTTCAACCTGTGGAAGTATTTTGCTGAAGGTTCAAGGTCACTTTTAAATAGTCCAAACTGTGTTCCTTTATCATTGAAAGCAAATAGTGCCCCAAGACGAATTAGTGTATGACTTTTGAGGTGTCTCTATCTTGCAAGCTGATCCTGTTACTGTCTACCCCGGCTTCCCACAGGAGTAAAGGGAGTCATTAGATGATGTGGCATTCGAATATTTCATGTTCCTCTCAGAACCTATTAGGAATGAGTACTTACCATGCTGAATCACAGAACACCAGAAGGATAAAGTGTCCTTCACATAATGAATCTAGTCTTTTTTATTTTTTTGTCAGATAATTTTTTCCCTGAGATCCAATTAAAGAAAGGCTCATTGCCACTTCATGCTATTCTTTTTATTTCCTGAAATTTTTTTTTTCTCTTTGTGTTAGAAAGGGACCCCATGGATATTAACTATATGTCTACTGAATATAACTCTAATTCTGCAAATCAGTATAAGATACAATGGAATCTGAAAATTCAATGTCAGAACAGTGGGTAGTGGCTACCAATAGTTCATTGCATTTAAAGGTTCCAGTGATGTCAGATTTTTTGATTGAGCATATGAGCTACCTATTAACAATGCAACTTTGAGAGTAGCCAGGTGTGTAACCAAATGTTATGCTCAGGAACTGTTTTATCAACTGTATTCTCAGGATGACCATTGTGTGTAGGCAAAAAAGGAAACCATCATATGAAACATAAAAAGAACTAAAGAGATACTCCAAGCACCATAACCTCTTCAGTTTATCATAGTGGTTATAGCGCAAATAACTGCCAACATTGCCATCCAAACCTGGACTGATTTATACAACATTATCAATATCTGAGAGGGAGCAGATGGGCCTGCCGTTGGGTGAGAGAAAAGTCTTTGGTTTTCTTCAAACACTTAAAAAATAGTTTTGCTAAAATTGGAGTAATTGTGCACAAAATGAGATTGTGGATACTATTAATATCCCAGATCATTTAGCGCACACATAACCTTTACTTTAAGACCTGACATTTAAAATTGAAGGAACACCCTGGGCGTCATAACAACGTAATCAAAATGAAGTTGTTGTGGTGCCATGAGGTCCCTGGTATTGGCTTACCTTTAGGAGTTAAATAGCTAATGAATGGGTTAAGCCCCAAAGTCTTCCTTTCTAGTGCCATATTGCTCTGCCCCCTCCAACATCTTTTTTTTGGAAAATTTCAAAATGGAAGCCTCAGACTGTGCGGACAGGGGCACCGCTGATTATCTTTGAGCGGTCAGTTGGTGCTGTAAGCCAACCAGTAGCTTACCATTCACAAAATGGCTTGAGAAAACTATGTATATTTCTCAAGCAGTGTATTTGTTAACACCTCTACTGTGGCATATAGAGTGAGGAAAATTATCAACAGATCCTAACTTTGGGGAGAAAGCCTTTTTTTCCCAGTGACTTTTGGGTTGATGAATTGTATCAAAGCACTTTTCATATATGGAAAGTTTTCACATCTGCTTTGTGTGAGACCCATCCACCAATAAAAAATAGTGTTAGCTAAGAAAAGAGTATACAATCCTTAACTAAACACTGTAAAACAAGTGCTAAATATTTGATAAAACTAATGTGAAGGTGCAATTCACAAGCATGTATCATCTTTTTTTCAATTGTTAGCAGCTTTGGAACTTTGTGTTTATATTCATCATAATCACAATCCAAAAAGTACTTAGTGTCTTGCTTGGGATATGGGCAAAATTTTCCAATTAAAGTCGAAAATATATTCAATACCATCATACTCAATCAATGCTGTTATTGTATTTTTGCATTTGATTTAGAGGATCTATGGGAGAGTGAGACACAGTAGGCTGATTTCTGTAGGTCATGTCATCTGCTTTTCAGTCCTAGGTTGTCTGACACACTGCTCCATGTACTGATGCTTTGCGCCTTTCTGGTGTCGTTGTTAATGCAGAATACTGACCTCCTGAGGCAATATCTAGAATTGTTAAAATGCGTAATCTAATAAGCACTCATACAAAACTCATACATTTTGATGACAAATAGCTGTGACCCACATACCAGCAAGTGTAAAAATGTTTTTTACACTTTATTTTCCACTGGGAGTTATGGGAGTGATGCAAGAGGTGGAGGAGGGGGGGGTAGATGGACACTTTGGGGTTAGGCAGGGGCAGACTGACAACTCACAGGGCCCTCTGGCAAAAGAAAATCAAGGGCACCCCTCCTAGTGAAAGGTCTTTGTGTGGCTGTGAGACATGATAGTAAGGGTTAACCCTTACTATCATGCCTCACCGCCCCTCCACCCCATATTAAAATAAAAAAATAAAGCAAATTTAATTGCATGCTTCCTCTGTGTTTGCTGGTGACATCACAAGCAGGGTCCCTAACATGTGCAACCATGCAAGCCAATGCAAGTAGCCTCCAAACACATGTGTTTGTAGGCTACTTGTGGGGTTGCGTGTGTGGCAGTGGTGTATTCTGGTTTTGTGCTTCCCTAGGCATGACAAAACTCAGGCACCCTTCCCCCTTCTAAATTTCGCTTCCTGTTAAAAATCAACATGCTATTTGCCTGACAGACACACGCCTTCACTGATGCATACACTGGCATACACTGACATACACTCCCTAAATTTTAGACACACACACTGTGACACATATAGACTCACTGACAGAAACACACTGACATACACACTTACTGACAGACACATATACACTCAGTGTCAGACACACACATTCGCTAACAGACATACACATTGACTTAGATACACAATCTCAGTGACACTGACACAGACACACACACACTAACAGACACACACACTCTCACTAACAGACAAAGACACACTAACACACTCACCAGATACACACACACTCTCACTAACAGACACAGACACAGACACACTAGCATACTCACCAACAGACACACACACTAACAGACACACACTCACACACACACTCTCGCTAACAGACAAATAAACTAACACACTCTCACTGACACTCTATGACAGACACACACACTCACTAACAGACACACTCTCACTAACAGAGACACACACACACTGTCACTGTCAGACACACACAACACTCACTAATAGACACACTCTCACTAACAGAGACAAACACACACTCACTCACTAACAGACACTCTCACTATCAGACGCACACAAACACTCACTAACAGACACACTCTCACTGACACACACACACTCTCACTATCAGACACACACTAACACTCACCATCAGACACACTCTAACACTCACTAACAGACACACTAACAACACACACACTAACACACTCACACTTTTTTAAAAAAATTTGCTTGCATTTTGGTGTTATTTTGGTGGCTGTTTCCCTCTGGTCCAGTGAGGTTGGCATGACAATGCAGGTGGTCTGGCGGTCAGTGGGAAAGACAGGTGCACAGTTCAGGGGGCGGCCAGGGAGCTCTGATCCTAGTGCGTTGGGTGATATAGGCTATAGTACAAGCAGGGAAAAATAGGGACTGTAGTAGGTGCAGGGGGCATAGGCATGGTTTTAGGTGCAGGGGGGCATAGGCATAGTTTTAGGTACAGGGGGCACAGGGACAGCCAGAACATGGCTGTGCAGCCGGGCTGGCTCCTGACTTCCTCGAACCCTCAGCCCATGATCATTCCGTCCCTGGTGTTAGGAATCCAGTTAGGTATTCCTAATACTATAGTGTTCCTTTATAGCCCTTTAGGCATTTAGGTATGTGTGACAAACTCCCATTTTCCAGGGAGTTTGCTACGAGTTCCTGGAGGAGCCTGCTTGCCAGCCTCCTGCCTATAGACTATGTACCCTGTAAACTGTGATATAAAAGTCTCCGTTCATGTAATTAGACTATATGGTTTGGGAACCAAACAGCTGCATGAACCGGAGACCACCCTGGAGCTTGTTAAGCCTAATTGCTACTTTGTAGCAATTTCCACTTCAGTGTTTGTCTGGGTGGCCGCAATTCCTATGGATGACCACGAGGTGGCGGCCATCTTGTTCGCATGAACACAGCCAGCGGTGTTTGGTCGTCGAGTTCATGGAACTATTTTCTGATACTGAAACTCTCGAACACCGCTGGACTTCCATGATCGCCTGTGTTCGGTTTTATAACACTTAGGAAGACACTGTTCAGGTGGAATCATTCGTCTGAATAAGGTGAACGTGCTTCAGGGTAGAACTATGGATTCCATTTGGTAGTTTGTTATTTTAACTACCGAACTAGACCGACCGCAAGCCCTGATTCTATGGAACTGTTTTGGGCATGGGACCATGCATGCTGGCGGTCAAATAAATGACTTTCAGGAAATTCCTGAACCCCTGAACTAATCTGGGTGATTTTTGGATATGTTGGTCACCCAGATCAGGGCTATCATGGGATGTAATTTTTGTGGGGTTGTATGTATTTTTAGGGTACTTTTGGGGTGGTTGAGAAAATGTATGTTTTGTTCTGTGCTTGGAGATAATTGGATTAGATTAGTACAGTTCCTGATCCAATTATCTCCCAGGCACAGAGGAGGGATTATCTGATTTTGTATGGGAGTGTCCTGGACCTGAGAGCCAATGTAATCGTGTGTATGTTTTTACTGTAGTCTACTCTGAGGTCCAGTAGGGAGTGCCCCTTGCATGGGGACATGCATATAAGGCCAGTTGTGGCTGCCATTAAAGAATTCCAGTTTGTACCCCCAGAATCATGTGTTGTCTGGTTACTGGGAGGCGAAAGGGCAACTCTTTAATCACTGTTCCAGTTTGGAGGATTCAACAGGAAAAGTCCTTGTAAGGACTAGAGCTTCCATGACTGAGTGTCCTCCCGTGCCTGGAGGTGTCTAGAGCGAATTCCCCATTCGGCTCCAGGAGAGAGCAGTTACAGGGCCCCAGTCAAGCCACTGCGACTGTGGGCAGAAGTGCTGCGGTTTGTCCCCCGTTCCAGCTAGGAAGTGGTCCTTGGTGGAGGTACCCAGGTGGGGTACAGGGAGCTCCACTACAGTATGTATCAAAGATGTGGAGGATATTAACAACTTGACTATTAAACAGGTGTCACAGAACCATTACTTTAATCTATGCAGGTGATAAAAATAGATGCTTTAGAAGATCAAAGTAAACAGAAAGAAAATCAAATGTAATTTTACTCAAAGAGGTTATATAGTTATATAGCTTTCTAGGTTGAAAAAATATTAAAGTTTATCAAGTTCAATCTTAAAGCCCATTTTTTCATGTTGTTGATTCAAAAGCATGCAAAAAACAAACAAACCCAATTGCAGTCATTCCCAATTATGAAAAAAATCCTTCTTGATTCAAAACATCATAGGAACTTTTAGATTCCATCAGAATGCTACCAATAACCCTACTGTCACAAATACCAGCTAAATCCAATAATCCAATACCAGTAGATGATATTTAATTTCAATAAATTAACTTGAATCCCAGTCTCAGCCTTGAGACATGTGATACTTCAGATAAGTCACCATTACATCAGCAATGAGGAGCAACCCACTGAATGCCAGTGAGACCCATACATTGTATTTTTCATTCATGATCTTTCTTTGTATTCTAAGTTATCATTAGCAAACTTAGCATGTTTATTGCAATGTAAATTATAGCCTATTTGAATTCAGCTTTAAATAGTTGGACTCTATAGAAGTGGAAACCAACATCAGAAGTAAAATGTATCCAATGTAGAAATTGACGGCAACCTCTTCTCTGGACAGACCTTAAGTATACCTCTGCACTTTGGCTAAACCCAATGCCTCAGTTTGGACTTCCTTCTTCAGGGATTAAGTTTAATGTAGTTCTTGGCTAATGGTTATTGGATTACCATTGTCCTTTAATTTCAGCTTCAACCCACCATTGCACCCTGTAAGGGATATTGAATGCCTTGTATAAGTGCTAATATGTTTGAAATCCAGCACATAACGTACATAACCACAAATCTGGACTTTTTTGCTCAGTCATCAACTTTTATCTCATGTATAACTGTTATAGGTTAGATTCAACTGATCTGCTTTTTCTATTCTTTATCTTATTATCTTTACAGTGTCAACCTTTGACAATAGGCTACATCTGTTGCCTACTAATTTCTTCTATATACTTTGCAGTTTAAATCTAATGCATTGAATAATCCATTTAGGATGCTATATATCACTTGTTAACTACTTCAATGCCTACATGTCTCCGTTCTCTACTACTAATTTACATGTCTTGTATTTGTAGTCTTTATTTAGATAAGTGCGCTATAGCATATTTCTATACTTTACAAATGTGCGAATCCCATATTGCTTATCTTACGGTGCCTGTGCTTCTAAGTGTGAACCACACTATAAAAATTGAAACTGGAAAAAAGAAATTAAACATTTCTCAACTTGTTTCAGTCTCTTTCAACACGTATAAAAAAATGTGTTTAAAATGAATGTAAATAAATTTAATGATGAAACATTGTAATAGCAGTGACATGTTTTATATTTGAAAAGCACAATTTTTTACAAATTAGATACATAATATTCAATTCAGCGAGTGTGCTAGCAAGAGACCATACTGATTTGTTTTCTTAGAAATAGGTTCACATTGTTTAAAATGATACATTTCTTGAGAATTATCTTTAGTAAAGATGCAGCAATGTAAGGTGATTTAATTCCCAGCTATTTTACCCTTTGTAAATCCAGTTACCCTCAGTAGAAACCATATTCATATATGTACGAAATACATTATTTCATAAGAGTGAATTTAAAAACACAGTATTGGGTGCCAGACTGACTGACATGCAGGATAGATGTATAGGACTTTTCAAAGGAAACAACCATGTGTCTTTAGGCAAACCAGACAGTTGTACTAGAAAATGCCTTGTTTATTTTGATTGAGCAATTTAATGAAACTAATTTTTAGACTGACGGTCCTGGAATTTCTGGGTAGAAATAAGTTTATGTGGTTAAGTGATCAGGTAATGTTTTTTACAGGTAAGGTCATAGAGAGGTGGGACAGATTTCAAGTTCATGAAAACAACACGTTTCATGAAAAACTAATTGGCTTATTAAATGAGGTTGGCATATTTTAAAGGACCACTATAGGCACCCAGACCACTTCAGCTCAATTGAGTGGTCTGGGTGCCAGGTCCATCGATGGTTAACCCTGCCTACTGTAAATATAGCAGTTTCAGAGAAAATGCTATGTTTACAAATGGGTTAATCCAGCCTCTAGTGGCTGTTTCATTGACAGTCGCTAGAGGCGCTTCCGCGCTTCTCACTGTGATTTTCACAGTGAGAAGACGCCAGCGTCCATAGGAAAGCATTAAGAATGCTTTCCTATGAGACTGGCCGAATGCACGTGTGGCCCTTGCCGCGCATGCGCATTCAGCCGATGGCGGCAGAAGGAGGAGATTCCCGGCGCTGGAGAAAGGTAGGAATTTAACTCCTTCCTCACCCTAGAGCCCGGCGGGAGGGGGACCCAGAGGGTGAGGGGGACCCAAGAACCCTAAAGAGCCAGGAAAACGAGTATGTTTTCCTGGCACTATAGTGGTCCTTTAAGATATTTACATATACTTATGGCGACGTGAGTTTGTAAAGCTCGGTTTAGATGCTGGAGAACTGCTTCCCACCCTCCTGATTACATTTTTTTCATAGCTTTTAAAAGGGGCGTGTTGCCTTGCAATAGTAAAACAACAGGAATTTGGGAAACAGCTGGAGCACATGTATCATATTAATATATGTTTTTCTCTGTGTCATTTCTAAACCGTATCTTTGATTAATCGGGTAATCTTTGGTCCAGTATCACACATATGTGTGGGTTTCAATCACCATACAATCCAGATGACTGCAGGGCTAAACATACATGTGGTTCTTGAATACCAATATAACTATTTTGTCAAATTTGTAATTACGGTAGTATCACTAGATCAATAAATGGATACATAGTAAAGCTTCATTTGTGGGTACCAGCAAAAATGCTTTCATTCTAGGAGCTGTATCCCATTCATAAGCCTACATCTAGCCTGTATAAAAATATAAAATAATACACACTGTGTAACCCCAATCAGTGCTGTATGGCCTGAAATAAGGAAAGGGTTAAACTAAACAGTGAAAGGACTGTCTTCTAAGTAAGTGATGTGTCCCTTCTTTAATGGATTTGCTGTCTGTGGAGTCAGGTACAAAAAAAAACCCTGTCTGGACTAAATCTTTGACTGATTATGCATTTTCCCCCTATCTCTTCAACCCAAGATAGATTCATCATTCCAATTTGTCAAACTGGCGAGATTCCAATTAATTACACAACCAAACAGCTCAGACTGCGTCAGGTCCTGTCAGACTGCCCCAGTCTCTCATTTACAGTCTTCCAAGCACAAGAGTTAGGCCCCTTCTGGTAATTAATTTGATGAATGCTCTTGTTGTGCAATGGGTAACGAAGGAGAATTTCTTTATGTATCTTCCCTCCTGTTTCCTTCACAGCAGTTTTAGTTCCTGAACTAATTTTATAGCCCTTTGGCATGTAGCATATTACAAACTCTGTCATTCAACGGTGTCCAAAAACAACGGGTTACTTACTGTGTTGTTATTATTGTTTTGAAAATAAAATAACTACATACATACATATATACCGGAAAAAAACGACTAAAAGATATGCTTCATCTATTGATTTAGATAAAAGTGAAATATAGCTATATACCTCTAGTAATTATAAACAAAAATCTTTCCTGACCACAGGTAAAGTGATTGGTTTAGCTATTATTCTAAACAACTGCTTAGCTAAAATAAAAGACACGTTATACCTATAGCTGTTCTATGACAGCAACTGCCATCACTCTTATATATTTTATATAGGGTTGGAACCTGCGTTTTAAAAGTTTACACTAAATAATATTATCACATTATTGCCATTTCATTTAATGTTTAACATACAGTATATTTAAAGAATAGGCTAACACTGCAACCCTGCAAATGTACTTCATATTTTTCATTTCTGAATTACGTGAGAGTCTAACCGTCTTCCTCAGCATGCTTCATTTCATAAACAGCAAGATGTATTTTCAGTGTATTATTCACTGGTATAAAAGGTCAAGGAACATGGTATATGAAACTCTTATCTGGTTGGTAAAAATAAATATGGTGGGCCACATTGTTTTATTTCATTACAAATGGCTTCTTTCATATGAAAACTGGAAGCAGAATACCAGATGTTTCATCTTGGGTCTCAGAAGCAACTATTTATCATTTCGGAAAGGAAAATTAATTCTGCGTACCACAAGTGTAGGGGTTGTATAGGTTTATATTTGTGATATAGAAAATGTACATTTTTATAATTTGACCAACTTTAGACAAAATTAATGATCTTCAATGTGTAAGATTGATTGGTGGATACTTGTTATGATACAGCACCGTTTTTGGCAACTGAAAACTGTAAATATAGTTAAAGTTAAAAATATCTTCCTAGTACTTAATAAGGGGAATGTATACACTAGAATTCTGTAATATTTATCTTAAAGTAAAAGTAACTTAAAATGACATTGGAATATAATTAGTTACTATAATGTGTAAAATGTACCAAGCATTAGCCTCCTGTTCTTAGTAACCAAGAGTAGAACCTGATGTAGTCTTCTGCTGCTGTAGTCCATTCACATAGATTTGATGTGTTGTGCAGTCAAAGATGTTTTCCTTTATAGCACGGTTGTGATGAGTGGCTATTTAGTTGCTGTTACCTTCCTGTCACTTTAAATCAGTCAGATCATTCTCTTGTCTCATTAACAA